ACGGGGACGGTAGTCGTCGGTAGTAGGGTAGGGTAGGGGTAGGGTAGTCGGACGTAGCGACGAAGACGAACCGTACCTACCTACTCTCTCTCTACTCTACTACTCTCTCTCTCTCTCTCTCTCTCTCTCTTTACTCACTACTAACAAGCTCTCTCTCTTTTCATGTATCTGCAACAATCTCTCTCCTTGAGCTTTTGGAATCGAGGCTCTTTCTCTCTCTCTCTCTCTCTGTTGTTTTTAGAGGTGTCAAATTCGGTTATCTCCTTTATTGCTTTTCTCTACCGTGATCTAAGCATTATATAAATCATGTAACCGAGACGACACGCTTCTGATCGACGGTGTACAAATGATTTCATACAAGTAGAGGATCTTAGAACCGTCCGATTTACAGCGGGAAGAAAATGTTATTGCATTGGCCAGTTCTTATATTACGTTTGAATTGTGCTTGGATATAGGCACGTGTCGTTTATGTTAGGGGCCCAATTGAGAAAAGAAATCGATGGGAGTGATAAGAGCAAATGGAACGGGTCTAATTAATACACGTATTTAATGGCAATTTTGCTTTTAGAGTGAGAAAGTAAACATGACTTTCATTCACGGTGGAATAGAAAGTAAAGATGGCATTTATTTAAGGCAAATTTTCGTATAGTAGTGTAATTCATGGTCGTAGACCTTCTTTTCAAGTGGCGTAAGAAATTTTTTAAAGATTTCATGTAATTCATGGTCGTAGACCTTCTTTTCAAGTGGCGTAAGAAATTTTTTAAAGATTTCATGTAATTCATGGTCTTAGACCTTCTTTTCAAGTGGCGTAAGAAAATTTTTAAAGATTTCATTGCATCTCTTAATCTCTTATTTTTTTTTATTGATTTTTTATCATAAAAATTACTTTCAATCTTTAAAGATTTTTTTATGCCGTTTGAAAAAAAAAAACAGAAAAAAGATCTACCGTGAAATAATATGAAAAATTTGTAAAATTTGTTCCCCACCCTCTCATCCCATCCCTCCACACCTCTCTCTAAGGGAGGCAAATGGGTCAGGTCAACCTGTCGGGTCAACAAGTCGACTGGACCACCCGATAGGTAGTTTGGATCAGGTTTGGGTTCAAGTCCATGTGTTGACTAGTTGGTTGGGTTCAGACCCCGATGTCTTGGATCCAACCGGAGTCGGGTCAGTCGACATGACCCATTCGATTTGGTATAAAATATGTATACAATATATAAAATAAATTTTTTATTTTTTATTATTTAGACCGGGATCCGGATCTGGTCAGGGTCTAAATGACGTAGACCTAACCTGTATCCAGGTAAGGTCTAGGTTCATGAGAAACCTAATTTGTCCGGTTTAGGTTTGAGTCGAGGTTGACCCGACCTTAACGTTGCCACCTCTTTCTCTCTCTACTCAAGCCATCCACCTGCAACCCTTCCGCTATGGCATACATGATTATTGGAAAGACATCCAATCTCTCTCTCTTCCTTAGACACAAGCCATCCACATGCAATCCTTCCTATTGGCATGCATGTGTACTAGAAATTGCGGCTTTTAGTTCTTCAGAACTTTTCATGTTTGTTAAACCGAAAGCGTTGTGCTGATTGTGAAGCCTCAACTTCTAAAATAGCACAAATTCACACCATTAAATAATAGCTTCTATGCTATACCACGAAAGCCGCATCTTTTGAAGTTGGTAGAAGAGATTACTACGCAAGTAGCCTCTTCCACCAATCAAATACAAAATGTTTCTCTCAAAAGGAAAAAGTTTGTATAATACATCAACTTTATATTATAAAAGTAAGATGCACCTCAAAAACCGATTGAAAGGTCATTTGGGTATTAGAAAACCCTTCAACTGATCATCTCAACCTGAAAATATAATGATGCAAAAAACAATATTTCAATACTTAAAAATAGTGCATCTTGTAACACATTAGGTAGACGGTTAATTTTCAAGACTTCTAAAAGTTTATTGCCAAAAGATGCTATAATTCTATAGGATTATACTGTCTATTTACTCCTTTCAGGTAATACCCCATCTAAAATTTATTTTAGAACCCCAAATTTGGGGATGTAACCTCTTCAACCCATATATTAGCATCAATAAAGAAAAATTCATAACTTCTCTATGCACTTGAAAAAAATAGTGAATAGAGACCATCCAAATTTTAGATGGTGAAATTTAACCTTCAAGAAACTCAAACTTCAAATTCCCTATTTTGAGAATATTCATGTAGTGATTTTTAGATAGTTCTAATTTTGACTTGAAGAAATCCTCCCAAGTAGGTATTATGCCAGGGAGAGTAGAGGTAAACTCTATTCATGCAGGAGTATAATGCATGTGTTTTTATAAATACACTTGATCTGTACCAATTTTAATGTTTTAAATTTTATAATTAAAATAAAAATATGGTTTTAAGCCATCATAATAACACCACCTCTTCTGAAGGTGCACCTTACTTCGATTGTTTTAGATCTCCATTTGTATAAACTGCACCACAGTCTAAAATACACCATGTTTACTATCTCTCTCTTCCCTCCTCTCTCCACTACATGCAAGTCCACTTTCATAAGCCATTTCCCAAGTCATCTCTCTCTGTCTCTCTCTCTCACACATGTAGCACATGGTTATATGACACCATGTAACATCACTATTAGTAAGATAAGGTTTCTATTTCGTGAAGGATGCTTCTTTGCAAGTAAATAAGGAGCTTTTGTCAACTTTGCTTCCCTTGTTCAGCCGGTTATATTCATATACAATATTTAATTTTTATTTCCATTTTTCCAAAAGTCATGACATTCTAATACCTGTTCCATCTAAAATAGTGTAAATATTTTTTTTTCCCTTGTTCAGCCGGTTATATTCATATACAATATTTAATTTTTATTTCCATTTTTCCAAAAGTCATGACATTCTAATACCTGTTCCATCTAAAATAGTGTAAATATTTTTTTTTCCCTAATCATATCCCATTACTTTTTTATTTATTATCATTAAACAAAAGCAAATCTAGCAGCCAGATTCCTGTCATTCCACATGCCATTGACCATTCTTACTGATTAATTAAATCACTAATGAAATATTTGGTAAGTAATTGGTGCCCAAACCCTTAAAACACTTTATTTATTCAGGAAAAATAGTGCGGCCATTTTGGTTCATTCCTTTTCTTGTTTGAAATTTAGGCAAATTTCGTCACCTCGTAGATCATTTATTGAGTATGATTTATACAAGCCGCCTGAGATAGTCAAAGTAAGGTACACTTTTACATCCTGACAGAAAATGAAGTTTTGGTGCCAGAGACCCTTAATGACCTGAAAATCTATTTTCACCACTAACTAAAAATTTTAAAGCTCTAAAAAAATAGTGGAACGAGCTGATAATTTTTTAAATGTTTGTTTCCGAATATGTGCTACAAGATCCTCTATTTTTAAGATCAGAAATCCTTTTTTTCATATCCTTACATTTCGAAGTTGAGAAAGTCAATTTGATGTTTTTTTTATCTAGTATTGGATTAACCTTTTTTTTATAGGTTTTTTATGTATATCTAATTTCTAATCTAATTTCTATAGTACAAAGTTGATAACTTATATATACTCTTTCCTTATTAAAAAGGACGAGTTTTCTATGTATCTCCACACACATGAGCTATATATGCTTACATATATCCATCCATTTGATTTTGTTCAGACAGCTATGAGTGAGAGAACAACTATGTCATGATCCGAACCGGCTTATGACATTGTTATTAGCTCAATCTAACCATCTTACTTGCTCAATCTAACCATCTTACTTGTAAGTTTGAAGACGCATATGATTATGTGTGTGAAGACTCACTGAAAGACTTCCCTCATTAAAATTGCTTCTCATTGCATGTGAAATTTCGTTTGCAGTGTAAAAATATTTACTTGTCTTTGGCCAGTTTTGGAGAAATGGAGGCCTTTGTTATAAACAGACTATGAAATTCTGCCAACTAAATCTAAAAATTTGGTTTAAATTTACTGGTTATGGTGGACGAAAATGAAAAAGTAATACAACCTTGTGAACACGAGAAATGATAATTGTTGCTCCATATTTCTCCATTTCCCAAGCTAACGTTCTTTTGGTACAAGAAGGATGCAATTAACCTTAGTGTTAGATGTAAAAACTTGTGTTAGTTTAATATCGGATTTTACATCCAATGGCTAAGGGTGATTCTACCCTCCTTAGACGTAAAAGCTTCTCGTAGTTTAATATCGGATTTTACATCATGGCTAAGGGTGATTCTACCCTCCTTATATCCAAAGCAAAGGATCTTATTTTGTTTGTATTTGTGTGTTTTTGCGTGTGTGCGCGCATGTGAATTAGTCAATTCATCTATTTACATGTCCTCCTTCCAAAATCCGTATTAGGAATTGATTTTGGAACTGAGAAATTTTAGGGGTTGATAATATCAATCATGATGATCATGAATATATAAAAATTTATATCTAAATAATTTTAAAAATGAAAAATTTATCAAATTACTTATAAGAGACTAACAATTTAACCATGAAGTACTGCACAAGAAGATGAATAGATAGAAAGACGAACCACAAAGTACCGCACAAGAAGACAAATAAAGAGAAAGACAACATCTGAGAGGGTGTTGACAGAGAGTTAGGAACGAATTTGAGCTCGGAACAAATTTGAAGTCGAGCTCAGATCCAACAACCTCAGATTTGAGGTTGAAGAGCCTATGGCTCTGATATCATGTTCGAAACTTATATTACTGCTCTTTTTATTAATTAATAAAAAATATACGCTAGTGACAGTTTTGGATAGACACCAATATTGATACTTACTAACTAATCTTATCAATGTCCTACACACCTAAGATATATATACCCATACATATACATA